TATATATATATATATATATATATATATATATATCCTTGAAAATAAATCCATTGAGTTAAATGGGAGTTCTCTGATACATAGGATTATTGACATGTTAAAATGTATATTCTATAATGGATATTTATACTTCCTTGGTCCTTTTTCCATTCTCTTATGGATTGTAACAAATCTGTTTTAAACCAGATTTATTATTTAAACTACATAGAACTGCAGTTAGCAAATAGAGGTTGCATTGTGTGTTCTCACATCATGGGAATGATTTTTCAGCATACATGTAACATGTAAATACATGTGCATAGTTGCTTCATATATCGGTATGAATGAATCTGAATTGAAAATATTCCATTCCTTGAATATATATGTATAATATGAGCATGCATAGCAAATATTATATATGTGCCCATTAGCAATTAGACTTTTAGATTTAATATTTCTGTATGCATTTTATTTATTTCTGTATCAAAAAAGAGTCACAGTTTTAGCCCATCCAGTCTCTCCACAACCCTGTTTTAAAACGATGTCTTTAGGTATTTCGACTGACACAATTTCAGTTTGGGAATAGGACATACGGCTACTTATCCAGGCTTCATAGAGAACTTATGTGTGGTACCAAACATTGTTTATATATTGACAAATATTTCTAGGAAATGGTTTCGTATTTTTGCTGTTAATTGTTTCATTACTGACCTCTACCTCTGTAGACATATGCAGTTTTCATATTTTTGGGTGAGACTTTCAAAATATTTTTTTTTTAAGTGTCCAATGCTCGACGTGAGCAATGACATTTTTGCAGGCTTCTATTTCAGTCATTTGTGCCTTATTTTCTTTCTATTTATTTCAAACAAACCACTATGAAAAATGCTGCAAATTTAAGTGACAGTCATGTACAAATATGCATAATATGAGCTGGTCCCTACCCATCATGTGTATTGCTAAAGACTCCATTGCAATATTTACAGTTAAACTAAACTTTTCCCCCCCAAGATGTAGCAAAATTGCATTTGTTTTGCAGATTTTCTCATCATTAAATGTGAAACATTTCACATTTGTCTTTTTGAGTAATTGGCTTTTAAAAATGATAAGGTGCTCTGAACACTTGTTATGGGGATAGGTCTGACGTTATATCCCAGAAATCCATATGCCATACAGACAGAACAGAAGAAAGATATTCACAAGCATGTCACAGATTGGGCTGAAGCAAGCCAAAAACCAAAGTGCCATGGCATTAACAATAGCACCAGATTTACTGTCACGATTGCAATCTGTGCTGTATCACAGACAGAAGGAGAACTTTTGATAGGTAACACCTCAGTGTTTTTTAAATCTTTTTGGCAAATTATCATTTTCATTATATTTTTGCCTGCCATGTAGTATTATTATAATATTAAAAAAATAGGCTTGCACAAACATACACACACAAAGTTTATTCGGCCCAGAACCAAACGGTTGCTACTTTACAAGTGTCATGGAATAATTGACAATTGTGTAATATGAGTGTGTGCCTATGAGAGATTTTGAGACATTTATCAATAATACATTTATGCATTTATGTCTTCTGCTTCAAGGTAAACATCCGTGACACTCTTCAAATACCCAACTTACTGATAAGCTCTTCACACGAGTCAAGAGCTATGTTGTACATCCTCAACAGCACATATCTGATGTAACTACATTCAGATGTATTTGTGCACACAGTTTAAACTTTCTTCAGACTCTACAATTCTCCTGCTTAAACATCTCCTTGCAATCTGGCATTCTGATAGTTGTGATGCTATGGAGCCTCCAGCTTTCATTCAGCACTTACTCCTAAATTAAATAAGCAAAGATTATTAAAAAATAATCTGTATATTTGGATTTCCAAGCAGCATATTAAAACAAAAAGGATACATTTGTATTATTTACTTACATGGTTATAAAAAATATACAAAACACTATAGCTTATGACCTGAACCTTCAGATTCAAGAGAGACTTTTCTATGATGTTGCATTTTTGACAAAACTATTTGCCGTGTTTTCCAAAATGTGCAAGTTGGAACGTTATTTTTGGGCTTGATCCTGCAATTCCTCCTCTTCTTCAAATAATGGATTTTCCAGGGAAGCAGCATGTCAAATATTTTCCCAAGTGGATGACTGTCAATCATGGAATGGGGTAGGTGGGAATTCAACACTCCATTTGGGACACGAGTTATCAGTGGAACAATTGCTATTTACCACAGATACTTGAGACCAACTAACCAAAACCACAAATACATCTGTGTGTTCCATTCTTTAGTATTCTTGCAATAGGCAAGGCGTCCCTTAAAAATGAAAATAAAAACTTTTTTTCCAAGCGAAAAAGCTTACCAAAAGAAGAATTATATCAGTAATTCTAAGCATCTAGCCACCAAGCTTAAAACATGGATAAAATGCTGGGTATGCCATTAAAGGAATTAATAATTATTTACAATTATTTTGCAGCCAAGTTATTTTAAGAAATAATTTATATAGGAATAATGTTAAAAAAGTATATTGTTATGTAGGAATTCTGCATTTGTTCTGGTAAAATTCTTTTATTCCATACAAAGAAAAAAATTACAGCCATTTAAATACATTTGGCAATTTGTTTACTTTGTGTTGTGTGTATCATTCTGTCTTACTCTTGAAATCCACCCCCAAATCTCCTACTATATTTCTAAAATCTGTATGAAGTATGAAATGGGAAAGTTTCTTTCTCATATTTCACTAATGGAAGGTATTGTGGTAATGAAAAGGAATATTTTAACTCTCCTTCACAAACCTATTATTACCACCAGAAATAAACAAATGGTATTGAAATATAAATGAGAAGAAATTAGAAATCAATAAATAATGTACAAAACTTGATTTGGCATATATAGAAAAAATGGATGTTGGTTTAATTAGATGTACTAAATGGAAGCAGATTATTCAAAAGGAAAAGTAGTTTATTCTGCACAAAATGGAGGACAATCCATTATAGTAAATAAGCCTTGGAAATAGGTTTTTAGAACAATATTTTTCAATGCATTTATATTTTAAATACTTATTTTTAGAATTTCAAAATTAATTCAATGTATGTTATATTTATTGAATATAAATCCTGTCTTTCTTTCAAGAACTCCAGAGATTGTATTTAGCATTTCCTCATCCATTTTTCCCCTTGGTAATTACCCTGGAAGATAGTTTTGCTTTGTTTATGGGTTTTTTTTTTTAAAAAAAAATAAGATATTTAAAATGAAATAAAACTCAGTAAGGCAGTTTTTTATTCAATAAATAATGTAGTAGAACTTACATACCAGCTCAAAATCACATAGTGAGCTTTCGTAGGATGGCCTTGAATCTGGATTTCTCTGATCCAAATTCAACACTTTAACATCTAATCCACAAATTATGGTTTGTTTAAAGTATTTAATAATTTATCCTTGTTTTTAAAATAAAATTTTCATCATCTTAGAAACAAATATTAAGCAGGAAACAAAGAGTCTAAATGTAATAAGTAGATAAGCCTAAAAAAACATTAGAGACTATATTATATAGACATAATTAAAGCTATAGCTTTGTAGTTGCTAAAAACCACAGACCATTGGATTTATTTATTTACTTATTTATTTGCTGGTTTCCCAGAGGACAGAAATAATTGTGACCTCAGAAGTCGTCTCCTTTTAGAAGAACTATTAGGCTAATTATTTCTGATTAAGAAGCTTCTAGATTCTTGAAACTAAATGGTTAAAACTCCCAGTAACTAATCTTAATTTCATTTGGAAGGAATTCTGCTGTCCTTTAACCCAGAAGGAGAAAGACAAAGAAGCAATACCAATTCCGCCACTTAGTTCAGCTTTCTAGTGATAGCCTCACTATCTGAAATACTCCCCCATAGAATATAAAAATCCTATCCTTTTTGTGTTTAAAAAATAAGTAAAATCAATATTGTTCCTGGATACTTAGTTGTTTCTAGTTGACCAAGTATTACCATAGTTTTAAGTTAGACATTTAAAATTTTGAACATAAATATCCTGGAGTTCCTGCTAAACAATAGTTCTGTCTACCATGTCTTATTTTCTTTTGACCCCTGCAAAATAAGCACTTGGCCTTATTTTTGGAAAGGTCTTATTATTTTTGAGGTGCAGGAGGCAGCGAGTGTGGTCACATCATGGCTGCTGCTGTGTTGCAATATTTTCAGGGAGGGCTTATTTTAGCGCCTGTGCTCAAAAGCCTGATTGGGCTTATTATTCAGGGAGGTCTTATTTTGGGGAGAAACAGAGAACTAGTGCTATTAATTGCTCTGTCTTCTTATTTAGAGATCTGGGGAAATGAAGAGAATGTTGCCTTTTGCTTGGGATAGGGAAAAGATTTGTTATATTTTTATATTTATTTCCCAAGTTAAAGTAAAATAAAGAAAAAAATGGAAAAAAGAATACAAAACAAAGACATAGAGAAAGAAAAACAAAGTGTATAGAACAAAATATAAAAAACCAAATAACCATGTCCCCTGATTGAATATTGATAAATATATATATCAATAATAATAATTATCCCCCCCTTACAAAGCAGATCTGCAATTTATAAATTTCTATAGTTATATTTGCAAAAGATTTTATTCAACTCTCTGATTGATTAAATATTATTGAAAATGTGACACTAAGAATAGATATTTTGGACCCAGTTCCAAAACAATACAATTTAAAATAATAAAGCCAGTATCCTGCTTAAAAAATAACTCAGAATGCCATTGAATAGTTTAAAAGTAGCAAAACATTGTTCATATTATGGGTCCTTGTTATAAGTGAATTAGAAAATATGATTTATTTAAGTAACCCATTTTTTTTAAAGACTGCCCTTTCTAGGACACATTTCATAATTTCATTTGTAAGTTCTCAAAATAGCAATCCTAAAATGCCTGAACAAGAAGAATTGCAATAATGCTTCCACCAGGTATATGTAGTAGAAGATACTTAGTGAAAATTTCAAAGCATGGTCATGATGTTATAGAAGTTCTAGAATAGGATGTTAAAGGATTTCATTTTTACTCATGAATGCATGGAAGACCTCAAAATTTTATCCTGTTAGTTATGGTTATTAGTATCAGTATGAAAATGATTGAGAATATTATTTGAACATTTGGCCTGTCATATTTCACTATGCAGATGTTCTTCCATTCTACTTCTCATTTCCAACTACTTCAGCTGAGTATCTCTGATATCTATCTATCTATCTATCTATCTATCTATCTATCTATCTATCTATCTATCTATCTATCTA